TAAGGAAAGCTCAGCCTTGCTTTCTACTTATATTCTCCTATTTTGTGACTTTAGCCTCTGGTTAACCTTGCCCTGCCACCAGTTTGTTTTAATCAAAGGAAATCATATGAGGAGATGGAATGTACTTTGCAACTATATGAACACACAAGAAATAAACCCCTATAGGAAACAGTGTGTGGAAACGAAGGAAAAAGAAAGAAAATCAAAACGTTGCCTCTCCACTTTAAAAAGAAAGAAGTTTTTATTTGCTTAAACAATAAAACAATGATTTCTCTGTAGAATATTGTCTTGCCCAAGTGTACTCTTTCTATTCCAGGTGCTTTTAAAAAAGAAAATATTTTGTACACCTTTCCCCTGTATCGATTTGGTCAAATATTTTTATATTAATCCATGAATTAATCATGAAATTTGAATAGTCCAAATGCTCATAAGATATCAAACATCCTAAAATGCCAATGAAATATTTAGAGTTATCAAAGTTGTTAGAGCAATCATAACTGATGATTAATTTGGATGATGAATACGTGTGGGGGAGGCTTAAACTTGTGAGATCGTATCATAGGAAGTGAAAGATATATTTAAATATTGATGTGCTAAGAGTTATCGTAGGTTAACTTCTGAATGAGATTCTAGAAAAGATGATGGGGAGAAGGACACCATGAAATTGTAATTACTTAATAGACATCCAAAGATATATTTTCCTTTCTGAAGCTTCTTGGCACCAGTCAAAAATTTTCTTCTTTTTTTGCTTTGCTTTTCCTCAGTAGTGGCCCAAGGAATCTGTCACACAAGTAATTTAAGTAAAAGTCATATTACTTAAAATAAAGCTATTACTGAATCAAAGATAGAATAAAGTGCCAGTATAAGGATGAGACTGTGGTCTTAAAAATACCTGCCTATTTTCAGTTAGGAAATCATGATTTGATATTCTAGATATAAAAAAGACCAGAAAGTGGGGAAAAAAAATTGACAGGATGTTGAGTTTCCCTGTAGTTAAGTTTAAAAACATGAATTTGTTATCTCCAGATTTTTGCTAAAAAAAAAAAAAGTCCTATGTTGCAGCTTTACTGCAGTAAATGAAGTTCTGGATTTTAAAATGCAAGCATGTCCTGTGAATGATGACATTTCTTATTTACTAAAGAGCAAGTACAAACAAAAAGTATCAAAAATTGGTCTTCACTGGCTTTTTAATCAGCATATTGCACGTATCTCGGATTTTGACTCATTTTTGACTAGAAGAGAAAGAAATTTAAAGGCTTAATATTTTTTCACATTATTGCCTTGTAACCCATGCAGTTGCACGCGCACTGTTGATGCATAATGCACTTTCTTGGCATTATATCCAGCTACCGAAAATTAAAGTAAAATTTGAGTTTGTTTCAGTAGTAAGAAACACTGATACTCATTACATGAAAGGTAATCCCAGGCACTGAAATGCGGAACATGGAATGGAAAAATCTTCTGTGGTATTGCGGAAATCAACATGGGGGGGTTACAACGAGGAGCATTTAATCCTCCAAGCAACCACTTCACAATCATCCAGTTGGCATGTACATGTGAGCCAGTGAAATCAGCAAATTACATTGAACTCAGATTTTATAACCTCACTTAGTAACCATTAACCCTCTCCTACCCTGTCCAGATACACACACACATTTCATCTGTATGTTTCACCTACACGTATCGGAGTGTTTTCCTCAGAACTGCCTCTTCCCCACAGTGCACAACAGCGGTCAAACAATTCCTGATGCTTCCCAGAGCACTCACCAAGCAGGGCTCTTTGCAGGCATTTACCATGGTTAGAGCATCTAGCTTGCCATCTGTCCTCAAAAACAGAAGTTCATACATTTTTATGCTTCATATCCTAGAGTATCTATTTTCCAATGACATGTCATTAATTAATTTTTACTAGTAAATTGCCATTCAGTCACTAACCAGGTACACTGATGCCATGCATGCAGTTTAATTATACACAGTCATGCTCAATGTATCTCATGCTCTATTTTATTTCTGTTTAGCTATATAGTAACAGCAGCAAAATTTGAAAGCGAGCAGCATTTAAGAGTCATTAACATTCTCACAGAGGTAAAAGCATTTTAACTTTGCAATTATCAGGCTGGCAGCTGACTTTCACACTAGGTATACACTGAAAGTTATTCCTTGAAAAATCCCCTTTTTCTCTCTCATTGAAATAAAGGATGATTTTGAAAATAAATCCCATTACAAATATTTTTTTAAGTGTGCAAAGAAGTGCAAGTGATATTGTATGCTACCAATTTCCCAAAACATCTGATATGCCACCGGCATATTTAAAAAAAAAGTCTAGTTTTACCAATTTGTGCTGCAAAAGAGAAATGTTACAGGTACATTTCGCTAATTGCCTTGCTCCAAAACAAGAATTTCCTTTCTGCTAAAGAGTGAACTGAGCTACAGGAATGGCTGGAGCAGATGGCGAGGTTAAAAGTTTTGTGCAGCGTGGTAACTCGGAGCGTGCTCTCGGATGCTCCGCGCCACCCCGCCAGCGCTGCTGGCGGCTCGCCGCTCGCCTGGGGGGGCAGCTGAAGGGGAAGGTGCTCGTGTGCCCCCGACCCCTGATGCGTAATCAAACTGCATCCTCCTCAGCACTGATTAGTCCAGAGAGCTGGGGACTTGCAAATAAATACATGTCACCACTTGGCTAAGAAGGACGAGATAAAGATGGTTTTAAACAGCGAATGACAGAGTATTAGAAAGGCAGCGCAGCAAAGCTCTCGCACACAGCATTTAGTTTCAAGACTATTTTTGTTAGGAATAGAAGCTCCCTGAGTTCATGGCAATTTAGCCTCAATATTAATTTGCATGCATGACACAGGGTCTCTTGAAATCATACCATCTCCACAGTTAGATCAGCAGCAAAGCAAGGTTTGGTTAATAAAGGAAGCACATCATGTCACGACCACTGATGATACATGAGGCAAAGTTTTTTCCTTCAAGAGAGCACTTAGTCACCCCTCCCCCCCAAAAATGCATGAAGAACCAGCATCAACCCTACAAGGATTGTGCATTTAACAACTCTATTATCAAACTTCTGGATTTCAAGATCCACTTAGGAGCTGACATTTCTCTAGACTAATTTTTGTATCTTTGGACACACATTAAGCTCTGCATCTAATGAACACTGACTGTGTTTCAAGCTGTGTTAAGATATATTATGGATGCTTCAGAGAGAAAAGGAGTATGAAGAGAGCAATGCAGAAGAAATAGTTTGACGTGGTACTCCCCCACCTCGAGGGGTAAATTGGAGATAAAGTTATATAAGCTTAAGTGACAACAGGGCATCATCAGCCACAGTTAATAGTGCCTTTGAGCTTGGAGATGTTTGTTAGCAGGATCTTTTCTGACTGCCTGGAAGGACAGCAGGTAGAAAGTCTAATCAAAGCTGAGATGATGAAAACAAGGGGAAGTTTGGCTGTGGCAGGTCCCTACAGAGGGCTGCAGAGCAAGAGATACCAATGTTCAGCTGCTACTTTGTACCCTAATGGGCAAACATCTGCGATTCCTCTGCAAAACGGGAGAAATTGACAGCACTTGTACCAAAACTGACTAACGCAAATAAACTCTGGGATTTTACAATGGGAAGAGCAAAACACAGCACAGAACACCTTTGAATCTAAGACCACAAATTTAAGACAAGAGGCAGCGTTTACACACTTTGCTGTCCTTCAAGGACTATAAAAATAGTGTAAGTCATCTGCACCAAGTAGCTTCCCCCCTGACTCTTGCCCCTCTCCCACACACTCACTAAACCTCAGCTGTCTGAACAACTGGCCACTACTGAATGTCTCCATGCAGAACACTGCTGCTGCAAGGGAAAAGCATTCCACCTCTGAGAAAGTTTGGTTACCGGTAAAAAAGGCAATAAAAGTCTGGATAGCCTTAGATGGGGGCACAGTATGCAACCTGATTTGTGCAAATTGCAGGTGACACTCTCTGATGCACATACGGGTTTATTTACACTTGTAACTTAAGTGCTGCCTCAACCAGAACAGCTTCTGTGCAGAGTCAATGCCAAAGCCTCTCGCTTCTTTCTAATGTAACTCAAACCACGTTTGTCATCCCGATGAAAGAAGAAAAAGCAACAAAATAAAAGATATTCTGGATACTGTAAAACAATACAGCACAGTTCTCACACTTCGTATCTTTCAGCAGATGTCTATTTCATCATTTCTAGCTTTTACTTTTTCATACAAGGCTTAGGTTACCTGAAAATACCTGCCAATTGGCAATGCCCAAGAGAATGATAATAGAAACTTTCAGACCGAGATTAACAGAGCAGATCCGGGCTAGGGGAATACTTCTCCTTCTGAAATTCCAGCATTAAGCGCCTTCCAATACATCTCAGCCCCACTTCAACTGCATGTAAAACAACCATCCTCACCCTAATTAACACTCGCTGTACCAGGCAGCTGTCGGGGAGGTATGGGGGGGGGGGGCAAAAAAGCCCCCCAAAACCGCCAAATCCTTGCATTCTGCCTGGTACTCCCAGTGGATGCTTAGTATTTCATCTGAATTTGAAAACTGATTAAAATTTGCCGGGGGGAGGGGGAACATTTTTATTCTGCCGGCAAGGGGTGCTAAGACACGGGTGGGTCCGGGCTGCCTGCAGGGGACAGGTGTCTGTGGAGGGCTCCGCTGGGCACGGAGGGGAGAGCGCTCAGCTACGCGCGACCGACGCGCGTTTCTCCACGTTGCATCATCATCATCATCATCATCATCAGCCGATAACCCCCGCGCCCTCCGGCACCGACCTGCGGGACGCCGAGCACCCCGGGAGGGGGCACGACACGGAGACCACCAAGTGACTTGGGAAGGGGGGGTGGCTGGGGGTACGAGCCCCCCTTCCCCTCCCGCGGAAGGGCGGGCGGTGCGGGAGGGAGCCGGCCGGAGCCCGGGGCTCGGTGCCGGGCGGTACCCGGGGCCGGGGCGGGGGGGGACCCGGCGGCAGCCCCGCCGCCACTTACATTCTGTCAGAGACCAGCAAGCGGCCGTCGACCATCATCTCCGGAAGGAAATCCAGCTTGAACGAAGAAGTCATGCTGGGCTCCGGGGGCGCCGCGGCGGTCGGCGGGAGGATGCGGCGGGGCGCGGCGGATCCCACAACTGCGCCGGGCGGCGGAGCGGCAGGCACAGGTGCGGAGGCCTCCCCGCGGCAGCCGCCAGCCCCGGCAGTTGTCACATTTCTCTCCCCCTCTCGGTTTTTTCCGCCAATCCCCTCCGAAATCGACTGCTGAGGCAACTGTCGGTGGAGCGCCAGGTGCTGAGCGGGGAGGCGGAGCCATCTCCCCGCTGCGGCTCCCCGTTAACCCCTGCGCCCCCGCCGCCCCGGGAGAGGCCTATTGCCGCCGCCGGCCCGGGGGCCGCCCGCCCGGGGCTCCGCGGCNCCGAGCCCGGCGGGGCAGCGGGCCCGCGGCGCGGACAGCCCCGGGCGGGCTCTGCCCCCTCACACGGGCACGGCGCTCCCCGGCGCGGCCGGAGCCGGCCTGGGGGCACTGGGAGTGTTTGGTCAGGTTCTGGGTGCAGGCTGTCTCTCCACTCAAACTCCTGCCATTCAGACCTTGGCAGTCTTTTGAATGCTCAGAGTGATGTTACTGGCTGGCGAGAGACCGGTAGTAACTCTGTCCTCGCTGATCAGAAAGAAGGATTTAAATAACTAATGACGGAAAATCCTTTCTCATGGCTGTAACCTCCCGAAAACCCGCTCGCAACCTCGCTGCTCTCAGATTTGGCCGCGCACAGAAGTTTCACCATCAAGACGCGCACAAAATTCCACACATACAACTAGCTGGAGGCCCCCCCTCCACGCCACCGCCCCCTGAAAATCTGTATAAATTTTCCTTTCCAACTCCAAGACCTACTTGCATCAATACAAAGCCGCTCCAGGCAAAAAGAATATTAACATATTTACGAAGATTACTAGGTGATCTGAGCAGTCTAGACAGACAGAACGTTCCTCTCCATTGTGTGTGCTTCTCCATCTGAATCTCTCTCTAGGTTTTATAATTTGATTTGTTATGGGTAATCAACACTTGCAAAAAGTAGCAAATGCAAATTAAGACCTACTATGCTTAAACTTTGCAAAGAGCATTCTAATATAAAAATTAAATTGACCCATAAAGAATGTGTTATCAGTCAGGCCAAGTTTTATTTAAATTTTGACCATTGTTGATTTGATAGGAAAAAAAAGTACAGAATGGGCAAGTTTTTAGAGTCCAGTTTATTGCACTAAAAGACTTACCAATTTTAAAGAGTTAAAAAGGAAGAAAACCCCCTCAGGCTGCTAAAATTTTTGCCTACTTTGCAAGACTAAAGAAAGAAAAGGTTCACTTGGCCCTCAGCATAATCCCCGTAGGACAGCTGCAATCCTGAACAGATATCTATAGTGTTATTAATCTGCTCTGCTCTATATGTTCGCATACTGTCCTCGTCACCATGGCACCTAAACATCCCCATAGAAAGGCACAAAGCAAAGCTATGGCTCCTCTTGACTAAATTCATGGTGATTCCTTTACGCCACCCATCCATCACGGTGCAGGACTGACTATACAGTGGATAAAAAGTCCAAGTGCAAAGTCCATATGAAAGGAGAAACCAGCACAACTTTCTCCAGCTGGATGCAGCCACCTGGTCTTTGATCTGAGGCCTCCATGGTGGTTAATCCGGCCCAGAGCAGAGTTGGATTAACTTTCAATTTCAAAATCTTGCCACTGCAGAAGGGACAGGTTTTAGCTCAGAAGAAATACGGGTAGCTCAGTGAGGATGAAGATATTCTTTTAACTAAGAAGTCTCCACCCCCACTTCGCCCTGTGCGGCTGGATCTGCACCTCTTCATCACAAGTTTTTTTGGTACATGCTAAATGGAAGGGACTTCAGTCTCACCAGCCTGTCACTTCCAAGGACCACAGTCCCACTGCTGCTGACTGAAAAGTAAATCCACGCTTCGCACAGGATGCAAAGAGGGAGGAGGAGAGGATCACAAATAATTTTGCTTAAAATCTGCATACGGAATAGAGAGATCTTTATAAATTTGCCCCATTATGCAAGGTGTAAGTGCTTAAAAATGCTTCATTAAAACGTATGTTCTTTTGAAATATTTATTTTCCTTTTAATTACATGTGAATTAGCTGGAAGAAGCTGTAGGGAAGCCCTCTTACTGACTTAAGCCTTCTCAGCAGTTTGTTAAATTCTAGCCTCAAATCCCTTGAGGGAATAGTGGATTCAAAGCAGCTTTTAATCATACTATAAGGAGGGTGAAGTAGTATGTAAGTAGGTCATAGAGAAAGCATTACAAGTGCATAGGTTATTGCTTTATTTAACAACTACAGTGTAACACACTTTTCAAAGCACATTTGCTTTTGCCATTTAAAAGTTAGAAGCAGGAACAGGGTCAAATGCAAAAAGGAACCCTTTCTATAAAAGATACGGAGATACGACTCAAGGAGAGCTTAGAGGGAAAAATTGCATTCGAATAATTTGGTTCTCAAACATAAATTATGTAGTGTCTATGTATGAATTAACTCTCGATGGCAGAGGGTAAGTGGCAAGAAACAAAAAATCCTGATTGTTTCACACACTCTTACAGGCTCAGCTCTGTTATTTGTAACATTAATGCCATATTCTTGACTAGCACATGTGAACAAAATAGCAACTTCTATTAAAAATTAAGGGAAAAGTGGAAGCTCTGATGTGTTGCTACAGTACAGAGGGAAATGGGAAGTGAGAGTGGCAAGTAAAACTGCATTTATTTTCACAGCATAAATCAGACAATGGCTCTAAACACTGGCTTAGAGGAGCTGCATTATTGCTGCCCACCAATATTAAGTTTTTCAACTGGTGGAGCATATGGCAGTTTTGAGGGAGGAACCTAGAATTTGGCATCATCAGTTCTTGGGCTTTAATCCTATTCCAGCTACAAATGCTGCCTCCTATCCCTCCTCCCCTCATTTCAGAGGCCCAGACCCTGTTTGGCTTGTTTACTCTGTGTCCCTCAGTTTCTCCATCCATCTGAGCAGGGCAGCTCAGTTTCTCATCCATCATGAAGCAGTTTCACCTCACCTTTGCAGATTAGTCACTGTTCAAGCAGCTTTTCAAACACAGAACTACATACAATTTCTCCAAACAACTCAACCTTTGAAAATTGCACACCTCTTCAGAGAAAAAAAATGAAACAAACCAAGAAAAAAACCCCAAAAAGTTCAGCTGCAGAAGGCCAGGACTGAACAAGTGGCTTGCGTGTATGAGCTCACTCTGACATCACTGCCTGTGGCTTCTTCAGTGAGTGACAAAGAGAGAAGACACCCCCTTCCTTTCCAGATCCCAGAGCCAAATCCAGAGTGGAGCTCACATCACATCCCCCCTCCAGACCCCCTCCTCACCCTATAATTAATTGCCATTCTTCTAATCAACTTGCCCCCAAGTTTTGGGCCAAGGAAATGATACTGTTGGAAGCACTTCAAGGGAAAGTTTCTGAATGACTTCACTCTCTCCCAAGCCTGCAAGGCAGTATGAAGAGAGTTCAAATCCTCTGCTTTATTCCCCCCTAAGCCAATGAACATGCTTGGGATTCTGCTTATCTCTGGCATCAAAGCAAGTTTCTAACAGAGGCAGCAGAAGCAGAGCTCAGCGACCACGGTGTAAATTTGGAGCGGGCTCGAATGACTCCAGTGGAATCACTCAGGATCTTCCACTAATGTGAGGGGAAGCAGGAATCTGATCCAGCTAGAGTTGGTGAATGCAAAGGAGGTGGTTGCTATCTTCCACAGAGAAATAACCTTCCAGGCAAGCCATGAGCCTGGAAGTAGTGGTGTGACTAAGAGCAGGCAGTACTAAGAGCATTTTGGTTTGCGTAATGGGATGTGAGCCTACCTGCCTACAAGGGAGGGAGCCCATCAGCTTAACTCTTAGTAGCAGACTTCTGGAGGGACAAGAAGGGGAGAGGGCATGAAGAAACAACAAAGCAAAGCACACGAGCACTTGGGCAGGACTACAGAATGGTGTAAAAATCATTAACAATTAGAGCAAAAAGTAGTGCATTTCCTTGAATGGTAAAAAGTAATGGGTACAATTCTACACCATTTTACCATATGTGATTACCTGGAACAAAACTGTCTTTGTCAGTTATGTCTAATATTGGAATAAAAATTTGAATTATGAAACCTTAACCTTTCAGTAGAGATTTTGTATTTACAAAACCAGTCTTCCATTCATTTTGAGAAATAAAATAACCTGCATATAACTGAAATCCTCTTAAAAAGAAAATGAAAATATTGGTTAAAGGTGATCAATGAATTTTAAGTATTTAAAATAGTGCTTGTGTGACTCCCTCCACTTCCGTAGGCTACTGTACCTCATCAGTAATCTTCAGAAATAAACGTCATTTAAAATTAGTCCTGTGAAAAGGTCCCTCAAATTAAGCATTTCTAGAGCTTTCACTTGAAGCGCATTGATATTATGTAAACTTGGTTGCTATAGTAAAACTTCCCACTCACTTCTCTTTTTTTTTCTTCCTATTTTATACCAGTGATGAGGTGATTTCATCCCACTGTGGGTAAAGGGCCTTTGTTCCCTTTTGTGGGTAATAACTCAATCTTTCCGAAAACAATTAGGCAACAAATTATGGCACAGGGCGGATGCTACATGGAATGGAGGGTTTTTAGGAAAGGCCTTTAATTTAACACCCTCCTTTGTGAACAGCACCAAATACACAGGACAGTCAATCATCACCCTCAGGTCCAGTCCTGCACAGGGCTGGTGCTGAGCAGAAGCTGCCCAGTAACCTCTGCTCCAGCTGGGCTGTCCCTGAGCTCAGCACTACATTAAGAGAATACTGAAGGAAACCAGAAACAAGCAAATTTTTGGAAGACTTAAGTCTTCTTGTCCTGTTGTTTATTTGCAATCCAATTGAAGAGCATTACTATTGATCCACAGGTGTTACCTTTGTGTTAGTGCCTTGTGCATATAGACACAAGACTAAGGCTTTTGTCAACCCAGTATTATCTTGACTTGGCAACAGACTTTTTTTTTTTAATTTTTCATTTTTTTTTCCAATGGACTCCCTTATCTTCTCACTGCTAACTATCAACAACCACTCCCCAAAAAGGAGAGAAACTGGGGTACTGCAAACACTGACCAGACCTGATTTCCTACTAAACAGCAGACATGTTATTTATGGTAGAAAAAGGCACCTTTCCAAACAACCCTGGAAGAGGGAACTGAATAGTCTTGGATTTGGCTATTATATTATCTTCATGTGAAAACCTACGACTTAGGACAGGACAAGTTGCACATCTGGTGCTCTTGTGTTGCTC